TAGAGATTAAAAGGTGGCCCCTGTCCTCAGAGAGCTCACAGTCCAGTGGGCGAGACCAACACGCCGGCAGCTCTCAGGGGAATGAAAAAGCAGAGAGGGCCACCACAGATCTGGGAACACAGGCTCCGGCTGAACAATTAGCGAAAGCACTCCTGCAGGTGTGACTTCTGACTTGGCTCTCAAAGGACACACTTGAGTTCAGCAGGCAAAGAAAGAGCACAGGAAAATAAAGTCATCCACGCCAGCGGAATCTCATCAGTAAGGGCCCAGAGTTATAAAAGGGCTTGTATCGGAGGATGGGAAGTCCAGTGGGGCTGAGAAACCAGGATGGGAGCTGGAAGAATGGGGTGGGGCCAGCTCACAGGGGTCCAGAGTGTGAATCTGAACTGTAACCTGTAAGCAGTGAGATGCCAACAGAGCTTTTTTTTTTTTTTTAAAGATTTTATTTATTTATTTGACAGAGAGCACATGCACAAAAGCAGGGGGAGCGGCAGCAGCTGGAGAGGGAGAAGCAGGCTCCCTGCTGAGCAGGGAGCCTGATTCGGGACTCAACTCCAGGGTCCTGGGACCATGACCTGAGCCTAAGGCAGACACTTAACCGATGGAACCACGCAGGCACCCCAACAGAGCCTTTTAAATTCAGGATTGATAAGACAAAAAAATGTTTTTAGGTTAACAACTCTGGCTACTGGGAGGACAGGCTGAAGTGGGTGAGATTGGGATAGAGTCTTCCTCCCTCTGTCCCCGCTCCCAGAACTCAGGACGGGGCACAGGATATAAAAGGGTCCAGGGCAATGAGCTATTCTCTCCATAGAGAGACCAGGAAGGACCGCTGCCTGCAGCAGTGGGTCAAAAGGGAGCCTGACCCCATCTCTCAAGCTCCTTTCCGCTCTAAGACTCTTCAATAACCTCAGAGCCAGTGTATCAGGTCAGTAAGAACCCGGGAGAATTGGCTCCTGGGCCACACCACACCAGGCTGCATTCCAGCTCAACTGTTTACTTGCTGAGTAGAAGCTATTTAACCTCACTAAGCCTCAGTTCCATCTGTGAAATGGGATGATGACGATAATGGAATGACCTCAGGGGAGTGTTGTCTAGATTAAATGAGATTAAAAGATTAAATGCAAGCAAAGGTCTGGGGCGCCTGGGTGGCTCAGTGGGTTAAAGCCTCTGACTTCGGCTCAGGTCATGGTCTCAGGGTCCTGGGATCGAGCCCCACATCGGGCTCTCTGCTCAGTGGGGAGCCTGCTTCCTCCTCTCTCCCTGCCTGCCACTCTGACTACTTGTAATCTCTGTCTATCAAATAAATAAAATCTTTAAAAAAAAAATGCAAGCAAAGGTCTGAGGACAGAGCCTGGGAAATTGAACAGTGTGTGTCCTCAAATTCAAGTCAACCCAACACCTGTGAACACGACCTTATTTGGAAACAGGGTCTTCGAAGACATAATCAAGTTGGGGTGGGCCTTAAATCCCATACAGCTAGTGTCCTCATAAGAAGAGGGCAATGCAGGGGCGCCTGGGTGGCTCAATCGGTTGAGCCTCCGACTCTTGATTTTGGCTCAGGTCATGCTCTCAGGGCCCTGGGATCAAGCCTGGCGTTGGACTTCCCGCTCGGAGTCGAGTCTGCTTATCTCCCTCTCCCTCTGCCACTCCCCCTGATTGCATTTTCTCTCCCTCACAAATGAATAAATAAATCTTAAAAAAAAAAAGAAGAAGAAGAAGAAGAAGGAAAGGTGAACAGAGAGACATAGAAAAACAGGAAAGAACCCTATGTGAAGACTGAGGAGGAGACTGGAATGATCTATCCATAAGCCAAGGAACACCAAGGATTGTTGAAAACCACCAGAAGCTAGGGAAAGAGGCATGGGAGAAGACTCTTCCCTGGAACCTCAGAGAGACACGGCCTGCTGACATGTCAATTTCAGATTTCTGGCCTCCAGAACCATGAGAGGATCAATCTCTGTCATTTTTTTTTTAAGATTTTATTTATTTATTTGACAGACAGAGATCACAAGTAGGCAGAGAGGCAGGCAGAGAGAGAGTTGGGGAAGCAGGCTCCCCGCTGAGCAGAGAGCCTGATGAGGGGCTTGATCCCAGGACCCTGGGATCGTAACCTGAGCCAAAGGCAGAGGCTTAACCCACTGAGCCACCCAGGCGCCCCAATTTCTGTTATTTTAAGCCACCTCGTCTCTGGGCATGTGTAATGGCTGCCCTGGGACCCTGACACACAAGTAACTACCCAATAAAATAAATGGTGGCTGCTATCATTATTAGAATCAATTGAAAAGCCTCTGGCAAATGCATGACCCAGGGTAAAAGAGCCCCAAACTCTGCACTAGAAAAAGCAAGGGAAGGACTGTGCCAAACGGCTTTGGAGGACCTGAGCCTGGTAGCCCGGCCCCCAACTTTTCCACCATCCCTCTGCCCGGGGCCCCATGGACAAGCCTGGAAAATCATGCACAGTTCCCGCCGCTGCCTCCTACAGGGGAGCCCTGGGCAACGTTTCACAGAACAGAGCCCAAGGCGAACTCAGCACTCTCCTCTTTCAGAAAGGCCTCATTCTTATCGACCCACTGCCTTTAACCCATGTTTCCAGAACGGCAGTGGAGAGAAATCCCCACAGTTGGTCTCAGCATCTTTCTTAGCCTGTTTGAGCTTTCATTTTCCTACCTATGAAAGGAGACGGTTAGACTCTAAGGTCGCCTCCAGCACTTTTCTGAAGTTGACTGGTTTGCTTATTGGTCACTAATGCATTCAAATACAGGTACTTCTGGTGTGCCAGGCCCTTCAGCATGGGAGGGGAGCCTCACAGAGCTCACTGCTGACACAAGGGTTCAAACTGATGAACAACGAATTTACATCAAATTGTTTAACTACAAAAAAAAAAAAAAAAAAAAAAAATTGTTTAACTACAGCTGTGGTTCATCGCTGCCCCGACCACGTCCTGTTGGGGAGGGATAGGGAGGTGGTCAAGAAAGGCTGCTTTTAGGACAAGACATCCAGTCTACCTAGTAACCAAACAAGTGGGAGTTAGTTAGGCAAGAGATGAGAACGGCCCTCTAACTATTCCTTTCTGTCCCTTTAAATCCTGTTTCTAAGTCCCTCTTGCTGCTTTGAATGTCGGTTGCCAGCTCCCAGCCACCTCCCTGTGGGTCCCACAGATGTCACCATTCCTAAAGGGGAGACTGAGCCCAGAGGAGTGTTGCCCAGGAGCGCTATTTATTAAGAACCAAGTGCATGAGGACACCTGGCTGGGTCAGTCGGTAGAAGCATGTAATGCCTGATCTCGAGGTCATGAGTTCAAGCCCCACATTAGGTGTAGAGATTACTTCTTCTTTTTTTTTTTTTTTTTAAGATTTTATTTATTTATTTGACAGAGAGAGAGAGAGCACGCGTGCATGCACAAGCAGAGGGAGTGGCTGGCAGAGGGAGAAGCAGGCACCCCGCTGAGCAAGGAGCCTGATGTCAGACTCAATCCCAGAACCCTGAGATCATGACCTGAGCCAAAGGCAGATGCTTTACTGACTGAGCCACCCAGGCATCTCTAGAGGTTACTTTAAAAAAAAGTTAATAGGGGCGCCTGGGTGGCTCAGTGGGTTAAAGCCTCTGCCTTCAGCTCAGGTCATGATCCCAGGGTCCTGGGATCGAGCCCCGCATCGGGCTCTCTGCTCCGCAGGGAGCCTGCCTCCACCTCTCTCTCTGCCTGCCTCTCTGCCTACTTGTGATCTCTGTCTGTCAAATAAATAAATAAAATCTTTAAAAAAAAATAAAAAAATAAAAAAATTTAAAAAAGTTAATAAATATAAACACCCCGACCTCCAAAAAAAGACCCAATGCATGAGCATAGAGGTACGTGGAAAAAGCAATGTACCAGCTCCAGCACACCCAGCTCCTCCCCTCAGAGTCCATAGTCTGGTGGAGAGAAACACATGTTTGACAAATAGTTACAACACCAAGTGATAAGGCCTATCCTAGAGACACGCTCAGATTACTGCATAAGTGCAGAGGAAGGAGGAATTCATATTTTGTGGTCCCCACTCCCCTTGTTTGTAAAATGGGGAAAACCTACCCTTCTTCTTCTGATGACTTAAGTGAGGCCTAAAACGACGGTCAGAGGTGTGAAAAGTGCTTGGATCTCTTTAGAGGTGACAGGGACCAGAAGTACCCAGAAAAAGCCAAAACCAGGGTTAACCCCAAACACTTGTTAATTGATGTCTTCTTCCCAAAAACCCCACAAGCTGTGCCCATAACTGGAGAGCTATTTCCTGTTGTCCTCCAACCCTCTGAACAGTTCAGAACAGGACAGAAGAAGCAGAGAAAACAAGGATCACCAATTTCTGAGTAACACAGGTACTTGCTCAACGTGTCCCCGGGCCTGGCCACCATCTTAAACATCTCACTTTGCACACTCCTGAACTTTCCTGGACATACTCTGGACTTAAGTCTCTCCACCCTCCAGTGCTCTTTCGGCTTGCCATTTATGGCTTTACAGCCCTAGATTGCCAAGCTGTGCATGACCATCCTTTAGCAGCTCCTCTACAATCAGAACCAAGGGCAGTGGGCCCAGCCCTGTCTGCAGTGTGGGGACACCAGCCTCTCCCCACCCCCATGCCCTACCCTGAGCCTTGCTGAAGCCACTCATCCCCCACTGAGCACCCGTGTACTTTTTCCCCTTCTCCCCAGGCCCTGATACCCTTAGCTTGCTGCCTAAGGAGAAAGGAGTTCTCATCACTCACAGTTGGTAGACAGAGAAACGACTTGCAAGGGAGCTGATGGGAAGTCTGAAGTCCCGCAGACTCTCTCTGCTCTACACCAGCCATAGGGGAAGGCTTCCCGAGGGCAGCTACCTGGCTGGGCTGTCCAAGTCCCTCCCAGGCTGCGGAAATCCTGTCTCTTCTGCTGGGATAACTCTCGGCCCCCTGGGATCCCTCACCCACCAGACATTAAGCACATGGAGCTGGTGCCCGCCCCGTAACTAGGGTCCTGTCCGTGATCATTACCTCGTCGGTGCTCTCGCCTCCACCATCCTTGCTTGAGCTGCTGGGCTTGGCCGTGCCTTTGGCAAGCTTGGGGGGCTCCTGAAGGGGGAAGATGGAGGTAGTCAGCAGGTGCAAGGGGGAGAGAGTGGCCTCATCTGGACCCCGTAAGTCTGTGCTGTAATTATCCTCTGTCCAACCGAATCAATCAATCAATCGGAATCATGGAGCATGTACCCTGAACCCAGCCCAGGGGAGGAGGTCTGGGGATACACAGAGGGAGAGTCAGTCTCTCCACACAGTCTGGAATCTGGTCAGGAAGACACTGTGAAGATAGGATAATTAAGCAAGATAGTGTTCTGTCACCTCGCATGGCTGGTGTAGGAGTTGGGGCCTGGGAGGGCCTCTGTCTAGGAAGAACCAGGGTAAGGGGCTTGAAGGAGAAGCACCATAGAACAACATACTCAGCCTGGCTTCTGGCTATATCGGGAAGGAGGAGCCTAGGCTCTCACGCTGGAGGGGAGGGAATCACCACTCCCCCCTACCCAAGGCCATCTGCAAAGACCTGGAAGCCTTTTTTTGGGAAATTACAAATCACACCCAGACTAGAGGGTGCTACTGGCCTAATCGGGTATAGGAACTATCCCAAGAACTCCCCAGTGGACAAGCACAGAGACAGGGACCGAGGTAAAACCCTGACCTGCCACAAAGACAAGCGCTAGTCTGAAGTCTCCCTCGGGAACTGGGCCGCTGGGCTCAGAGCTCTCGCCTGCCCAGCGGCATCTCTTCCTATGCTTCGGGCCAAAAAAAGCAACTGCACAGGGACAGGATGGGGAAAATGTGAAAAAGACTTGGGGATTTAGGTCTGATTGCAAGCTCAACACAAATCATCCAAGTGCCAGGGCTGTACCCCCTGACCTTCCATCCAATTAACAGACGGAGTGTGGAGTGCTTGGCATGGGGGAGGGGGGAGAGCGGGAAAGGGCCCCTGTCCTTGGCACTTCACGGGACTGTTTGGCAAGATCTGGTTCACTCGTGAGCATCAGAATTTGGGAGGGACAACGACAAACCCTAGGTTTTCTTCTGGCGAAATACAACCCGTACTGGGAGTGGGTTCAAAAGCCTGTCCTGAGAGCAACAGCTGCAAGGCTGGGATGGCTAACAATGGGAATAAATGAAGAGCTGCATGCGAACTAAAGCTGCGACTTGTTCTATGTGGGTCCCGGGGCCCAAGAGCCATGGGATGAAGTGGCAGGAAGACAGACTGAGGTTCCGAACGAGAAAGAATTTTCTCCTAGAGCAGCAGCACAGAAACTGGCTGCCTCATGGGGCTGCGAGCTCCCGGGTCCCAAGAGCCTTCCAGCAAAGGAGCATTCCTGACTCCTCTAAACCATGGGCAGAAGGGATGGGAGCCGTAAATGCAGACTTGGTCGGAGGACCTTGGAAGTCACTTCCAGCTCTGAGATTCTGCCGCTCGAAGGCACCTGAGCCCCTTCGGTGACAAATGTTAAGTCATAGGGACTATGGGGGCACAGGGATTTCTGCGAGAACAGAGCTCTGTGTGGGCTGGAGGAGGGGGCAGGGAGGAAGAGAGCCCTTCCCAGGTGTGGAGCAGCTCTACGTGTCACAGGGTGCTCCTCCTTGGGGCTAAGCACCCTCTCCACTGCCCACCGACCAGGCTGGGCACACTGACCCCTCGCCAAGGGGCCAGGGAGTATGGCTCAGAGCATGGGGTGTGGCGCAACAGGACGAGGGGGTGCAGGCACGAGTCACTGAGGTGCCCACACATTCCCCAGACATGGGCCGCGTGGACAAAGCTGACCCATCTTTGCATGGGTTTCATCTCTCTGCTCCACCACAAGCTCCTTCTCCTTTTAGCACCCCTCCACCAGCCCGACTGCTCAAACCTATCAGGGAGTGCTCCTAAGAGAGATCCCAGCTGCCTGCCTGCGTGGGCGAGTGTGGGGGCATGGGGAAGCCACGCCCACCACCCTTGCTCCCTGGCTCCTGCAGAACAGGGGGAGTGTGCACACGGCAGAGCACCCCAGCGCACCCCAGAGCACCCTAGAACAGTCCAGCGTCAAGTGCCACCCGCACGGTGGTTCGGACCCCACACTCTGTTTTGGGCCCAACTCTTACTAGCTCTATGATCGTAAGCAGGTGAACCAGGCTCTCTGAGCCTCAGTCCTCAGCTTTTAAGTGACAGCAATCAAATGATCTAATCCCCTGTAGCAGTGTCCATGCAGCACGTGAATATCCCAATGTTAGCCAATGGTATGACTATTATCAAAAGCGACAAGGTAGAAAGGAGCAGGGGCACACGGCCTAGGAACCTAAGAGGTATGTTCCCAGATCAGAACCTGAGGGAAGAGGAAGGAAGCAAATCGCCTCCAGGGATTGACTCAGTACTCATCTACTGAGTGCCTACTGTGTGCAAGGAAGATGGCCAGCCAAAATGGAGCTTAGTTATTATCTCAAGGGGGAAGAAAAGATTTGTTCACAATTAATTGCAGTCCACAGGAACACAGAAAGACCAGGGGACCTATCAAGTGTTGTGCAAACCCAGGGGAGGAGGGAGAGTTCCCTCCTGACTGAGGGCTCAGAAAAGGCTTCAGGGAGGAGGCTGTGAAGGATGACCAAGACTGGGCCGAGCAGAGATTAAGAACGAGGAAAGGGGATGGACCCAAACTAAAGATCCCCCGCCCACCCCTCCTCTCTGTTCCCACCCCATCGAGGCAAACCTCAGTCACACTGTCCCTCCACCCCCTCCGGACTTGTTAACACTGAAGGAGGCCAAATGCAACTGGAAATCAAGAGCAGAAAGTTAAACCTTAAAGGGAATCAAAGATGCCTGGCTTTGTGCACCCCAATTCCGCCAATACTCTCTCCCAGCCAAGTACTATGGTCAAATATCTATGGTCCTAGCAAGTCTAAGAATCTTCTCAATCATCTAGTAGAAGGCTTTTTGTAGATGGGACAATATCTGTTCCAACAAGACTAAAAACTACAGATGGGTGGGGACCTCACCAGCTTCCTCTGAATTCCACACCCCCCCACACTCCTTGACGGAGCCCCTTAGCCTCAGGTGCGGCTGTGTGTCATTCACAGCTCCACTGCCCAAACCACCTCAGCAGGCCCACTCCCCAAGGACACAGGGCCTGAGTGCAGCACACCAACCTGCCAAGCCCAGGACCCCAGAAGCTTCAGTGCCTAGTACACCATCACCAGCCCTCCACTCAGAACCTCTGTCCCTGTGAGGTTATAGGGACAACCCAGAATCACACTTGCCTGCCAAATCTCTGAAAGCCCCAAGATAAAGAGTTGAACTGATAAGGTCAGGGACCGCAACCCAGCAACCCAGCCCACTGGAGGGCAAATGAAAGCAAGACACCTCTGGGGTCATAAAGTGACTGAGCAGAGCACCAGACCAGACACCACGAGGGGCCAACCCCAGGAGAGGAGAAGCTGGGGGAGGCTGGAACTGGTATCCTAGCATCCTCTGTGTGAGTCTGTACCTCAAAGGAACCACACCTCTGAGTCAGACCTCAGCAACAGCAGGAAATAGAAGGTAGAGAAAGGCAGGGATGAAGAGCAGGGGAAGGCAGTATGGAGGTAGAAGAGGAAGGTAAAGAAGGCAACATCAAGAAACAGTCTGTATCAGGACACCATGAGAAAGTCAAGGTGTCCAGGGGCGGCTGTCTGGCCTTTGGGGTAAGAAGGAAAACTAATCCCATAGTAAGGGCAGATTCCCGATTTGAGGGTACTGTAGGAAGGCAGGAATCCACCACTGGTGCAAAATTGGAAAAATGCAAAGGTTATCCTAAGATTAGGAATTAAAGGAGGAGCTTGCTCAGAGTAGGAAGGGTAACTGACTTAGGATGAACCTGCAAGTCGCTTGATGCCTGATAGGGAGGCTTTGGTACAAAGGAGGCCTTTAAATCAAGAGACCTCGTATTGCAGCTGGGCCTCCAAGCAGGCTGTGTGACCTTGGCCAAGTCCCTTCCCCTATCGGGGCCTCAGTCTCCTCATCTGTATCACTAAGGAGTGCACTGAATGCACTCAGAGGTCCCTTCCAGCATTGACGTTCTGAGGTTCCATCAACAGAAGGAAGGGCTCAGTTCTGGCTTACAAGTTTGTGTGTGAAGGAAGAACTAGAGGGAGGGGCCTAGGCCAGATTTGGTGGAGGAGAGAGAAAGCAGAGCAGTTCTAGGTCAAGGAGCTTCGCGGGGAGGGAGAAGGGGCTGTAGGGGACGGTGGAGAAGGCCGGCCCAGGCCCAGGCCCAGGCATGTAAGAAGAGAAGGGGCTGCGCGCAATGGGGGGCGCGGGGGGCGGGGAGGTGGGCTGGAGGGAGGTGCAGTCTCAGATGAGGGGCTGTCCCAAACGGGTAAACGGGGGGGGGGGGGGCTGGTGGAGAAAAAGCAGGGGAGTGACCTGGGAGTGGGGCAGATCTGGAGGGAGGTGGTTACCCAGGGCCGGGGGTAGGAGAAGGGAGGAATGGATGGAGGTGTACGCGGGGGACTCCATCCCAGGCAAGGTGAGGGAGGCTTCCCAGCTGCCGCACAGGCTGGGGGTGCGGCCAGCAGCGGGGGTGGAGAACTGGCCCTGGGAGTCCTGCGGGGGCCGGACGGGAGGGTCAGTCTGGGGCTGTCCCGGGCCTGGCTCGGCCTCTCCCGGAGCTCCGCGCAGGCCCCGAGGCGGAGGCGCGAGAAAAAGGGCCACACTCACCTTCTCCTTCTTCAGTTTATAGGGCATCTCTGCCCGTCCGGACCCAGCCCGGCTCCTGCGGCCCCGCTCCGGCTCCGGCTTTGCTCGGCCGCACTCGGCCCGCTCGGCGTCTCTTCGCCACCGCCTGCGCGCTGCGCCCGGGTCGAGCGGTGATTGCGCCTCCAATTGGCCCGAACTCTTACAAACCTGCCTGACAACCAGGCACCGCCTCCTCGGATTGGTTACTGGGGCCAAGCGGCTTCCTTTTTTTCTCATTGGAAAGGAAGAGTACAAACCGCCAGGGTTCGTCTCCCAGAATTGGTTGAAGCGGAAGGTCCCGCCCTAAAGTGGGTCGAGCTTAACAAAGGAGGCGGGGATAAGGGGAAACCCTAGCATAGCACCTAGTGCCGCACTCCCGCGGCTGGTATGTGTCGGCCTCGGCCATTCTTCGCAGCCCGGTCCCTTCCAAAGTGGCTTTTACTCTTTCCCTGCTCTGCTCCTTCGCTCAGTCTGAATGGAAGGAAAGAAGCCGTAAAATGAAGGGTACCTTTCTTCATCAGGGTTACTTAGCACTAATTGCATATGCAAAATTGGTGGAGAGAGCTCCCGATTGTCTTCCAGGGAATCCGTTTCCTAGACGGGACTTGCAGAGAATGAAAGGAGAAGGCTGGCTCCCGGGGACCTGGGTGAAATTAAATGAAAATTCTGGGTTTGTTACAATTTTGGAAAGCGGGTCCCCGTTCCTATTGCCAAGTGTCCTGTGATTGGGGAACCAACTAGATTGGAACACTTGGGAATACAGTGGAAAAGCTATGTCGTTGAGTGTCTTAGGATAGACATCCCTTACTTCCACCTTGCCCAAGCCAATGTCCTAATGAATGATCCTGACTTTAGGGGGTTTACTGACTGGTGAAGTTCACAGACTTGTATGAACAGATGCTTAAGATACAATGTAATAAATACACAAATCTAGAAGTGGCTGGAGGAATAGGTTTCAGAAAGTCAACTCCAGGGGCACCTGGGTAGTTCAGTCAATTAAGCTTCTGCCTTCCGTTCAGGTCAAGATCCCAGTGTCCTGGGATGGAGCCCAGCCTCTGGCAGGCTCCCTGCTCAGCGGGGAGCCTGCTTCTCCCTCTGCCTCTGCCCCTCCCCAACTGGTGCTCAAGGGCAACAAGTGCTCTCAAATAAATAATTAAAATCTTAAAAAAAAAAAAAAAAGTCAAGGGGTGCCTTGGTGGCTCAGTCTGCCTTTGGTTCAGGTCATGATCCCAGGGTCCTAGCTGGGCTCCGTGCTCAGTGGGGAGCCTGCTTCTCCCTCTGCCTGCTGTTCCCCCTGCTTGTGCTCTGACAAATAAAATCTTAAAAAAAAAAAAAAAATCTAACGCTGGGGGCGTGGGGCAGCATTTGGGTGGCTCAGCTGAGCGTCTGACACTTGGTTTCAGCTCAGGTCATGACCTCAGGGTCAGGAGATGGGAGTCCTGGGCCGGGGTCCATGCTCAGCATGGCCTCTGCTTAAGACTCTCTCCCTCTTCCCCTGTGCTTTCTTTCTCTCTCTCTCTCTCACTCTCGCTTTTGCTCTCTCATTCTGTCTCTCTAAAATAAATAAATCAGGGCACCTGGGTAGCTCGGTCACTGAGCATCTGACTTCCGCTCAGGTCATGATCCTGGGGTCCTGGGATTGAGCCCGCATTGGGCTCCCTGCTGGGCGGGAAGCCTGCTTCTCCCTGTCCCACTCCCCCTGCTTGCGTCCCCTCTCTCGCTGTGTCTCTCTGTGTCAAATAAATAAATAAAATCCTTTAGAAAATAAAATAAATAAAATAAAGGGGCACTTTGGTGGCTCAGATGGTTAAGCATCTGCCTTCAGCTCTCCAGGCCATGCTGTCCAGGTCCTGGGATCAAGTCCCACATCAGGCTCCCGGCTCAGCACAGAGTCTGCTTCTCCCTCTCCCTTTGCCTCTCCCCCTGCTCATGCAAAAAGTCGACTCCATTAGACTATTGACTATATGAAGATACTGGAGAAGGCTCAAGAAAAAGCCTGTGACCCTTGACCCATACAGCAGTGTTTTAAGACAAAGGCCATGGCAGGGAGAAGACAAGACAGAATTGGGAAATATGTAGAATCAACAGGATCTGGTGATTCACTGGACTGTGCAGAAGATGGTAAGGGAAAGGGAGGAGTTGAAGATGACTTCTGGAGCCATCAGAGGTGTAGGTGGAAAACCGGTGTTGCAATGGCAAAGGAAGTAAAAAAGAGGATTGGTCAATAGTGACACATTCCAAGGAATGACTGAGTAAGATAATGATCAAACAACACTACCTTGATTCTGTAGTTGTAGATGATCTTTGAGGGAAAGTTTTATAGAAGTGGAAGGAAGGTTATAATGAGTTGAAGAGTGAGTGAGAGGTAAGGAAGTAAAGGCAACAAATATAGGTTCCTATCTTATGGAAATAGTATTTGGCTCCTACTGATTAATGACAATTTCAAAGTAACAAAGCAGACTGCATGCCAACCATTATTTGCTGGGGGAAAAGCCTGGGAAGAAAGGATATTTGTGGGGGCGCCTGGGTGGCTCAGTTGGTTAAGCCAGTACCTTCAGCTCAGGTCATGATCCCAGAGTCCTGGAGTTGGGTCCTGCCTTGGGGCAGCTCTGCAGGAAGTCTGCTTCTCCCTCTGAACTTCTCCCCTCTCATGCTCTCTCTCACTCTCTCTCTCTCAAATAAACAAATAAAATCTTAAAAAAAAAAAAGAAGAAGAAGAAAGAAAGGATATTTGTGGATGGATATTTGTGTCTATATGACTGCTGAACCAGACAGGAGACCAGATTTATTTACCCATTCCTAAGCCCTCAAGGAGCACTGTAGTCCCGAGGCCCAGAGCTTGCCTATGTAAAGCAGGCATATCCTTTTTGGACTCACCCCACCATCCTCCCAGTCCTTGGTCCCTGTGGGAAGCAAGGGACAGAGCCACATTATACAGTTCAGAACTACCAAATGGGAACTTTCACCCATATGAATTCAGGTCTCTAGTACATTCTTACATGCTCTTTTAAAGATGTGGAACTAGAAGAGGAGCGTGGCTGACTCAGTCAGTGGAACATGTGACTCTTGATCTTGGGTTGTGAGTTCCAGGCCCATGTTGAGCACAGAGATTACTTTAAAAAAAGAAAAAAAGTGGAGGGCTGCCTGGATTGCTCAGTTGGTTAAATGTCCAGCTCTTGAGTTTGGCTCAGTTCAGGTCATAATTTGAGGGCTGTAAAATGGAGCCACACACTGGGATCCAAGCTCATATGGAGTCTGCTTAAGATTGTCTCCCTCTGCTTCTGTCCCCACCTCAAGCATGCCTGCTCTCTCTCAAACAAAACAAAATAAAACAAAAGTGGAATTAGGCAATTTCAAGTTTAAGACTAGAAACACCTCCAGGAACTATAATCAGACTTTTAAAATATATTTTCTTGGAGGGCTGGGTCGGCATCCAACTCTTAATCTCAACTCAGGTCTTGATCTCTGGGTCATGAGTTCAAGCCCTAGTGTGAAGCCCACTTAACAAATAAAAAATAGGGGCGCCTGGGTGGCTCAGTGGGTTAAAGCCTCTGCCTTCAGCTCAGGTCATGATTCCGGGGTCCTGGAATTGAGCCCTGCATTGGGCTCTCTGCTCAGCGGGGAGCCTGCTTCCTTTTCTCTCTGCCTGCCTCTCTGCCTACTTGTGATCTCTGTCAAATAAATAAATAAAATCTTTTTTTAAAAAATAACAAATAAAAAATAGGGATCCCTGGGTGGCTCAGCCAGTTAAAGGTTTGCCTTAGGCTCAGGTCATGATCCCAGGGTCCTGGGATTAAGCCTCATATTGTCCTCCCTTGCTCAGCCAAAAGCCTGCTTCTCCCTCTACCTCTGCCACACCCCTGCTTGTGCCCACTTGCTCTCTCACTCCCTCCGTCAAATAAACACAACCTTTAAAAAAAAAATACATAAAAATACCGTCTCGTCTCACTAGGAATAGAAATACGTTCTAACATGTAAATCTAATATTCAACTCTCAGATTTTCAGGAATTCATGATGTACAAAGTAGAAGACTGCCTCAAGTTGTTCAGCTGTGAAGGAAAGGGGAAAGTTAGGCAGTGGTTGGAGAATGCAAGGTCCAGGAAGGGTAGATTACCACCAACCAATGGACTGATTCCAAGAGAAAAATTTTTTTTTTGTTAATTACTGGAGGTGTGGCCTGTCGGTGTCCAAGTGCCTTGTCCAGAGCAGTGGAACTGGAGACAAGGATGGAATCTAAGTAACAGCAAAACTGGGAAGCAAGCTGTTGGTTCCCTCTCATGACTGAAGACTTGGACCCCTTTCTTCTACCTGCTCTACTGCCCCCACCACCACATCGCCCCTCACCCCGCAGGGTAGAAACAGGACGTGGGTCTCCAGTCTGCAACGATTGGTGGGGCGGGGAGAGCCACTGTTTTGGAGGATGAAAAAGCGAAGCTGCTTTGTCTTCAAGCTTGGTGGGAGTAGAACGAACAGGACAAGAAACAGGACAAGAAACACTGGGACGTGGGTTTTGTGTAGCATGTGCTGGAACAGGTGAGGCAGTACCAAATACTCCAGGGCTCCATGAATCACAGGTAGTAATCCAGCCTGCAGCCACTACATAGCCATAAGCACAGCTGAGGCAGTTTTATCCTACCACTCCCTCCTGCAATCCTCCCCACAACCACCAAGCCTCAGTGCCTACAGTTCCACCGTGGAAACTATAGGAGTTCCACGGAGGACTGGACTCCTTCCTAAACACTCCACCCGTAGCTCCCAGCCCTGGGCCAAGCTGGTCCTGGGCACGCCAACGGTTCGTTGATCATTCAATTAACTGTTAAGTGCAAGGCAGGGCAGTGGGGAGGACGTTACTCCCTTAGCAGGCGCGGAAGGCAAATCCCTGCAAACACCGTCTCAAAATGTTGACTACTCCGCGGCAGTGAACACGTTACCGCCACCGACAAAGCCACCCTTCAATCCGAGCGGCCGCTCACCCTCCAGGAGAACGCTAGCCAGGAACCCGCCGCCCCGCCCACTGTCCTCGCACCGCCCTCGACGGAAGCGGAAACGGCGGGCGGCGGTCTGGCTCCGGAAGCGGCTCTCCTTCCCCTTCCTCGTTGGTCTCCTGTCACCATGGCGCTGGCAGTCTTGCGAGTCCTGGAACCCTTCCCGACCGAGGCACCCCCGTTGGCGGTGTTGCTGCCCCCCGGTGGCCCGTGGCCTGAGGCCGGGCTGGGCCTGGTGCTAGCCCTGCGGCCCGCAGAGGAGAGCCCCGCAGGGCCGGCGCTGTTAGTGGCGGCCCTGGAGGGACC